TATACGGAAGCTGCCGGGTACCAGGAACCTAGCGGGTGGGCCCAGGTCATGGGGCAGCCTTGGGCGGCGGGGAACGCGGAGGGGACACCTGCGCGGCTGCCTCTCGTGCTCACGGCGCTGTGGGCCGCGGCCGTGGGCCTAGAGCTAGCCTACGTGCTGGTGCTGGGTCCCGGGCCGCCCCCGCTGGGACCGCTGGCCCGGGCCTTGCAGCTGGCGCTGGCCGCCTTCCAGCTGTTCAACCTGCTGGGCAACGTGGGGCTGTTCCTGCGCTCCGATCCCAGCATCCGGGGCGTGATGCTGGCCGGCCGCGGGCTTGGCCAGGGCTGGGCGTGAGTGGGGCGCTGGGTCCGGCGGGGAGAAGTGCGCGCCTTGGACAGGGGGAGGGGCCCCGGACCTGCCATGTTAAAACCAGGTTACTTTAGAATCCGGGATATTAGGGCCTGAACACCCTTTAGAACCTGGGATTCTTGGTGAGCCAGAAGAAGTAGCATTCATTCACCCACAGATATTTATTGAGCACCTACTGTGTGCTGGGCATTGGGTTTTTGGTAGTGTAGTGCCTGAGGCATTTGACTGCTAACCAGAAGGCTGGAGGTTCAAACCCACCAGCCACTCCTCAGAAGGAAGATTGGGCAATCTACTTCCATAATGATACCGCCTCGGAAACACAAGGAGGGGTGACTGAGTCGGATCCCACTCGAGGGCAGTGAGTGACCTATGTGCTGCGTACTCCTAGACACTGAGGACACTTAGTCAAACAGATTCTTCATCTAGAGCTGATTTCATGGGGGTGGGGGAGTAAAACACTGTTGGCATAATAAATAAGCACATTACGTAAAATATTAGATGATGGTATTTTGGAAAAAACAGAAGGAAAAGGAGGTACGAGTTGCAGTTTTATTAAATAGGATGGTTAGGGTCGGTCTAGCTGAGAAGGTGACATTTGAGCAAAGACTTGAAGAAGGTGGGGAGTTAGACGTGGGAAGCTGGGAGTGTTCCAAACCAAAGGGACCAGACAGTGCAAAGGCTGCCGGGCAGTTGTGTGCCCTGCATGTTTGGGGAACATCAAGGAGACGGTGTGGCTGGAGTCGAGGGGGGAATTGTAGGAGAGGGAGAGGTGAGAGACCTAAGGGGTGGGGTCAGAGCCTGTAGGACCTTGTACGGAAGGCTTTGCTTTTTACCAGCGCAAGTGGAGAGTCATGGGAGGGATTTGAGCACAGGAGGGACCTGACTTTGGTTTTAAAAGGCTCAGTCTGGCTGTTGGGAAGAGACTAGGAGGGGACGGTTCATGGTGGCTTGGAACAGTGTAGTGATCATGGAGGAAGTGAGTTTGTGCCTGGATGTTAGAGGCTAGAGAAGGGCCTTAGGGCCAGGGATGCTGGAGTTGGAAGAGACCTCAGGTCTGCAGAGCTAAAGCTGGAAGAGGCCGAGATGTCTTTTGTTCAATCTGCATCATCTAGCAGAACCTGGGGCTCAGGGGCTGCCCCTGGGCATGACATGGGGCGCTAAGAACTGTTGGGGACACTGACCCATGGTTCTTTCCCTGCAGTTACTGCTACCAGTGCCAGAGCCAGGTGCCACCGCGCAGTGGGCACTGCTCCGCCTGCCGCGTCTGCATCCTGCGCCGGGACCACCACTGCCGTCTGCTGGGCTGCTGCGTGGGCTTCCAGAACTACCGGCCCTTCCTGTGCCTTCTGCTTCATGCTGCCGGCGTCCTGCTCCACGTCTCGGTGCTTCTGGGCCCCGCCCTCTCAGCCCTGCTGCAAGCCCACGCCCCACTCCACGCTGCCACGCTCCTCTTCCTGCCTTGGCTGATGCTGCTCACAGGTGAGGAGCCTGGGCAGCCGCTGCGGGGAGGCAGACACCCTGGCATCAGGCTGTGGAAAGCCCATTCCAATGGGAGATGAGATTTCCCGCTGGTTCTTGTGGCAGGACCCCAGGGCCCCAGTCCCAGTATCCTTGGTGCCGGATGAGGACATATCCTTGGTGCCGGATGAGGACAGACTGGTGCTCCCTGGTGTCTCAGCCCACATACAGAGTTCTGGCTGAGAGAACCCAGGAAGGATTCCAGGAGGTGTTGGCTGAGCAGGATAGACTGGTGGGAGTTCTATAGGCACGGTGCAGGGAGTTTCCTAAATAAGGGGTGCTGCATGAACAAAGGCTGAGCTTGGGCAGGAAGCAACACAGGGCATTGTGGGAATTAAGGCTAGGAAAGTAGGTTAGGACTGGTGGAGGGCTTTGAATACCAGTGTGAGGATGGCCCTTATTTGACTGGGCAGCAGGGAGCCAGTGGAGGTTATAGACAGCAGAAGGCCCTGTTACTGGAAGTTGTTAGGAGAACTCAGTCCTCGGGGAAGATATGGATCAGGAGGCTGAGTGAGAGGTCGTGGTCTGGACAACACCACTCAAGATAAAAGCACCACTAGTCTTTGTACAAAGGAGCTCTGGTGGCATAGTGGTTAAAGCATTTGACTGTTAACCAGAGGGTTGGTGGTTTGAACCCACAGCTGCTCTGTGGGAGAAAGATGAGTCAGTCTGCTTCTGTCAAGATTGACAGCCTTAGAAACCGCATGGGGCAGTTCTGCTGTGTCCTGTGGGGTCTCTGTGTGTCGGAATAGAGTTGACTGCAGTGGGTTGGGTTTGGCAGTCCTTAGATTCTTTGTTCTCTGCCCACAGAGTGCTTTGGACTTTCTCTTCCCTGACTCCCTCCTCTCTGACTTGTTCAGAGTTGTCCCTGCACTTCCTCATCCTAACCAAGTCCATCTCGGTCTGAGGACCTCCACTCTCTGCAGCCCAGGGGAAGCCCATGGGGGTCCACCCATGGAGTTGGTCTGTTTCTTTGTCAGTCCACTCTCAGCTCCTGGCCAGCCCTCTTCTCCTTCCTCATAACTGCCTGTCTCCACTGAGACTCAAGCCCTCCAGTGACACCTCCCCCACGCCAGCTCTGCGGCCTCCCACTCACTCCCCCGCTCCCTGCAGCATTGGGCTCCCGGCCCCAGGCTCTTTCTGCTCTGGGCCTGCTGAGCTCATGGTGTCTCTCAGAGTCTGTACCAACGGCCCCAAATCTGCCTTCCCCACTCTCGCAGTACGTTTTCACGGTGTTTTCTTTTCCCCATAGGCCCTCTCTCTTTTAAATTGAAGCAAAATTCCTATAACAGATGGCACTGTAGCCGTTTTAAAGTGTGCGGTTCGGTGGTACTTAATGCGCTTCTGCTGCTGTGCACCCATCTGAAAACCAGCCGCTGTCCAAGCGACTCCGGCTCGTGGTGACCCCACGTCAGTCTGAGTACAACTGTGCTCCAGGGAATTTTCAGCAGCTGAGTTTGCACTAATTCCAGAACTTTCTCATCCTCCCAAAGGAAGCTCTGTGCCCATGACGCAATCACACTCCTTGCTCCCCCCGCCCCCTTCCAGACCCTGGCAGCCACTCCTGTGCTCATCTGTGGATCTGCCCAGTATGGACATTCACACAATAGCATCCTGCACTATGCGGCCGACTGCATCTGCCTTCTTTTGTTAGCACAATGTCTTCACAACATTTGGTAGTTCGTTAATTCAGCAGCTACTTTGTGCCTGCTGTGGGCTGGGGCCATATAAGACACCACACTTCTCACTGGCATGCACATCCCGGCTGAGACCTGATGTGTCGGGTGTCCGTCTGTGAGCTCTGAGGGCTGAGGTGCCATCTGCTGCGCTCCTTCAGTGCCCAGCACTCAGTGTATGAGTCAGGGTCTCTCGGGCAGGGGGCTGTGCCCCCCGGCATGGCACAACCACCTGGGGAGGAGCCCTGCTTCGTGGGGGAGGGTGGGAGGAGGGCAGGAGCTGGGCCCTGGGAGCCTGGGCTGCCTGCTGCCCCTCACCCCCTCTGCTCTCTCCTCGCAGGTAGGGTATCTCTGGCACAGTTCGCCCTGGCCTTCGTGATGGACACGTGCGTGGCGGGCGCGCTCTTGTGCGGGGCTGGGCTGCTTTTCCACGGGATGCTGCTGCTGCGCGGCCAGACCACGTGGGAGTGGGCTCGGGGCCAGCAAGCCTATGACCTGGGCCCCTGCCGCAACCTGCAGGCAGCCCTGGGGCCGCGCTGGGCCCTCGTCTGGCTCTGGCCCTTCCTGGCCTCCCCCTTGCCTGGGGACGGGATCTCCTTCCAGACCGCAGCTGACTGACGAGGCACTCGAGGCTTCCTGATTCCAGGGAGAGCTGGGACTGAGCTGAGGGCGGGGGGGGGGGGGGGGGGGGGGGGGGAGGGGGGGGGGGGGGTAGAGAGCGGGTTGGCTCTTCATACCTGTGGCTGCTCTAGAAATAACCCAAGCCGCTGCCCCAGTCAACTCGAGTTGGAAATTTGGGATCCGTTTGGCAATTCCTGCCCCTTCCTTCACTTGGCCGTGCCCCTGCCTAGCTTGGACTCCCACCCATCCAGGGCTGGGGTCCTGCAATCTACCTCTGTGAGTGGGCCCAAGTGCTCTGGAGGGCCTGAGAAGGGCTGCTTGGCCAGGCTGGCTGCCTCTTCTCCAGGCTAATAAAGCACACAGTTCATTGTTGTCCTTCCTCTGTCTTGGTTCAGTTTCTAGTCCCGTGATTTTTTGCCTGAGCTGCTATTTGTTGTCCCTGGATTGTCAGGCCTGGAAACCAAGGACTGTCTGAGGGCTCAGGGGCCAGGGCTCTGCCTCCTCTGGCTTCCTTGGCATAGTGGTGGTCGGGGGAACCCCTGTAGTCAAGGCAGCCAAGTTTGAGAACACCAGCTCCTTCCCTAGGTTCAGGGATTTAGAGCTGGCAGGGTTCCTACAACAGCAGTGCCCTTGACCCTCCCGCTGCATCAGACAGCAATTAGGATCCCTCTTTTGAGGGTGGAAAACACAAAGCTCTGAGAGTTGGTGGGATAAGATCATGGGGCAGTAAGTGAAGGAGTCAGGATTTGAACCCAGGTCTTTGTGCTTTTCTCCTTCACCCATGCACAGCAGAAGAAAGTGAGTAGGGCCCACGTGTGTGAGAGCGGGGCTGTGAAGATGAGTGCGGCTGGGGCAGCAGAGAACCTTCTGGCTTTGTGCCAACAGGAAGAACTAGTGGATTTGCCAAAAGACTACACCGTGAGCACCAGTGAAGATGAAGGGGACAGTGATAGGGAGTGGAAGCATCGGAAGCTTCTGGAAGCAATCCGTTCCCTTGATGGAAAGAGTAGGTGGGAGTCGGCTGAGAGATCAGAGGCACACCTGAACATGTCAGAGTTCAATGTCAGTTCTGAAGGAATAGGAGACAAGCTGGTCCTCGCAGATCTGCTGCAGCCCAGTAAAGCTTCGTCCTCCTTGGCCGCTGTGAGAAAGCAACTGAAGAGAGTGCAATCAAAGACTGTGGAGTTGCCCCTTTGCGCGGAAGAGGTTGCGCGGATCCACAGAGAGGTGGCATTCAGTCAAACCTCCCAAGCTCTCTCCAAATGGGATCCCATAGTTGTAAAGAACCGGAAGGCCGAGCAGCTGGCTTTTCCCCTGCAGAAGGAGCCGGGAGCCTTTGCTCCCATCGAACACGTGCTCAGAGGCTGGAAGGCAAGAACTGCCCTGGAGGAGGAAATTTATAACGTCCTCCACAAGAACAAGCAGCCAGTGCTAGACCCTTTACTGACGCCAGCAGAAAAGGCTTCGCTCAAAGCCATGAGCCTGGAAGAGGCCAAGCTACGCCGAGCCGAGCTTCAGAGGGCCCGGGCCCTGCAGTCCTATTACGAGGCCAGGGCTCGGAGGGAGAAGAGGATCAAGAGCAGAAAGTATCGCAGAGCTGTGAAGAAAGGAAAGGCCAAGAAAGCCCTAAGAGAGTTGGAAGCTCTGGGGAAGGTCTGTCCTACCGCAGCATTAGGACGGGAGACGACGGGAAAGGCCAGGATGATGGAGCGACTGAGCCTGAGGCACCAGGACAACGGGAAACGGGCCAAGTCAAGGGCAGTCAGGGCCCGGTATGACCCAGCGGCTCGCCAGGCCATGCAGGAGCAATGGGCCAAGAACAAGGAACTGGTGCAGAAGCTCCAGGAGCCTTCGGAGAGTGAGGAAGAGGAGGGAGGTGCAGAGGAGGTTGGACTCCTTGTCCCTGACGTCTCGCACCGAGTCCCAGTGAACACACACGGGCCAAACCCCTGGATGCACAGAAGTTGCACCAGTGACGCGAGAGAGGCGGAAATCCAGAAGGACCCTGCCCAACTCCCTAGGCATGCAAGCTGCGGGGGTTCAGAAAGGGAGGAGGAAGAAAGCCCGGTAGCAGAAGAGGAACCCTTGAAAGAATTTGAGGAAAGGCCATCTCTTAGGAAGAGGGCGGAGCCCGGCCAGGATGCTGAGCCCGTGGGACAGCAAGAAACACAAGACCCTAGCAGCCAGGAGGTGCTGTCCGAATTGAGGGCACTGTCCTTGCAACTCGGCAAGGAAAGCCATCGGTTGAGGAAGCAAAGAGTGGATTCCGTGGGGGCGGTCCTCCTGGTCCAGGACGAGAAGGAGCCCTTACTGCTGCAGAGGCCAGAGGGAGTGCGGCCGCTGGAAGAGCTGGAGGCGCTGGGCCTCAGAGGCTGTTTGCAGAACACAGGGCCCCCCAGATGTGTGTTCCGAGGGCAGCAGACGGAGAGAAATCCAGACACGCAGCCTGACGCCCCGAGGAAGAAGAAGAGGGTGCGAATGATTGACCTGCAGGACCTCCTAACCACTCATTCTCCTGGGAAGTCCATGGCAGGTCCCACTGTGATAGAGGAGTTGGAAGGTGAAGAGGAGAGAGACGAAAGGCAGATGATAAAGGATGCTTTCGCTGGGGATGATGTCATCAGAGACTTCTTAGACGAGAAGAGGGCAGCTGTGGAGGCGAATAAGCCAAAGGACGTGGACCTGATGCTGCCTGGCTGGGGCGAGTGGGGTGGGGTGGGCCTGCAGCCCGGCGCCAGGAAAAGACGCCGGTTTCTCATGAAAGCCCCTGAGCGGCCTCCAAGAAAAGACGAGAATTTGCCCAACGTGGTGATCAGTGAGAAGCGCAACATCTGTGCTGCAGTTCATCAGGTGCACGCCCTCCCGTTCCCCTTCACCCACCGTCAGCAATTCAAAAGGACCATCCAGACCCCTGCAGGATCTACGTGGAACACCCAGAGGGCCTTCCAAAAGCTGACTATGCCCAGGGTTGTCACCAAGCCAGGCCATATCATCACTCCCCTCAGCGCCGAGGATGTGGGATACCGGTCTTCCTCGAGGTCGGACCTCTCTGTGGTGCAGAGGAACCCCAAACCACTCTCCATCCGTCACAAGAAATGGCTGAAGAAAAGCTCTGTGGCCTGAGGTGCTGGGAAAGTGACAGCCTGGTGCCCTGGCCGCTGCCTCCTCCCAGACTCGGCGTTAACTCATTTCCAAGATCAGCTCCCAAACTGGACGTTAGAAATAAAGGCTTTTATTTAGTTTATATTAAAAAAAAAAAAAAAAGGCCCCTCTGAGACTCCCTTGTTATGTAGCTGTATTCTGGTATCTTTATAGTCAATAGAGACTTCCAGAGGGAGCTTTAAACACATGCGTTTATCTCTGTGTCCTCTTAAACTATCACTAAAGTGACAGCAAAGGAAAATGTATCAGTTTACAAAGAGAAAGAAAATAAACTTAACCCACTGCCGTGGATGGAGTCTACTCTGACTCCCAGCAACCCCAGAAAATGGAGTAAAACTGCCCCATAGGGTTTCCAAGGTTGTTAAGATTTGTAGAAGCAGACGGCATCGTCTTTCTCCCACAGAGCGGCTACTGGGTTCGATCCACCAGAGTAGAGTGCCTTCTAGAAAGGAAGGAGGGAAGAAAACAGTAGACAGGAGCCAGCCAATGTTTCAGGAAGAAAAGGCCGTGGGTGGAGGGCTGCCATTCTCTTAGCTAATTAGAAATGGAACGTCACTGTTCCCAGAGGGAGAGGCAACAGGCCGGCCAGGCTGTCCCCAGAGCCCCGGAGAGGCTCAGAATTCCACCGGGACTGGGGAAGGGGAGGGGAGGTGAGAGGGTGGGACTGACAGAAGTCTGCAGGAGCAGCAGCTGGGTGCACCCCTCTCTGGAGAACCCCACTTCACACCTTGTAACCAAGTAGCTGCCCCTGAGGCAGGTGGGTTACTCAAAGGAGGAACTGAACAAGAGAAGTGTCAGGGGCACTGGGCAGGGCAGGGTAGGGGTGAGGAGCTGGACCAAAGAGTAAACAAAAATGAGGGTTCAGTGATTCGGCTGCTGGAAGATCCTCCAGGGAGATGGCAGGTGTGCCCCCCAAGAACCCCAGAGAAGCCCACCCCTCTGACAGGCCCTGCCCCTGCCCACAGAGTGTCTTGCTTGTTTTTTTCCCAACTGGTGTGATCCGGTTCTAAATTTTAAGTACATTAGAAACTTTGTGTCCTTGGCACTCTGGGCTGTGTAAAACTTTTAAGTTTTTTCTTCTTCCTCCTCTGCCTCATGTCTCAACCTCCAGACTCTTACTCTCTTGGCTTTTATTAAATGGTGACAAGATGCTGCGGTCTCTGGTGAGCCCCTCTGTGTAGGGGCAACAGTCTTAATCATTGCCGTGCGTTGCTTTATGGCATTGTTCTGTATACCGGCGTTAAGTTTTGCATGTTTGTGAATTTTATTTGAATGTAATCACACTGTGTTTATTCTTCTGTGACTTGCTTTTTCATTCATGATGCTTCTGAGATTTATTCAAATTAATACATGAAGCTGTAGGGTCACCTTTTCCCTGCTGTATATGGAGCCATTGGATAGAAACCGTTTATTTTTCTGTTTTGTTCCACTGCTCATTTTATGTACTCATTGTATCATCCACTAAGATCTGTTCTTGGTCCCTGCTGTTCCTGTAAACTTTAAAATTAGCTTGTCAGATCCAACTCACAAACACCTCTTTGAGGTTTGAATGGAACCAAAATGAGTTTAGGGAAAACACCAGTTTAAGGAAAATTGCCATCTACAAGAAATTGAATTTTCCTGTTTATGAATATGGTATATCTCTCCATTTGTTTTTCAATAAACTTGTATTTTTTCCTCATAAAGATCATGACTTTGTTCATTTATTCTTAGGTACTTGATATTTTATGCTATCGTACATGGTTTATAAAAATAGAATGTGTTGAGCAGAGTTGTAAAAACTTATTTTAATTCACTTGTGGATTCTTCTGAGTTTTCTATTTAGAACCATATCATCTATGAGAAGGGAGCAGTGCCCTTCCCCTTTAATTCTGGGTTTCTTGTGCGTTCAGTGTGGGTGAGACCGCCACATGGTGTGGAATAAAGGTAGCAGACACCCTTGACTTATTTTGACCTTTAGTAGTTTCAATATCTCACCATTAGATGTTTGCTGTGGGCTTTTTATAGATGGCTTTTATTAGGCTGAGAGGTTCTATTCCAAATGTGCCAAGTTTTTACCCTCTTGTTTTCTATCTTTGTCTCTTAAGAACAGACTACAGGTGGACTTTATTATCTATCTAGATATTATCTAATATATTGGATTCTAGTTGAAACATTCAGGCATTCACATTTATTATAATTAATTTTATATGTGGATATACTTCTATAAAGTATTGTGCTTTCTCCTTGTCTCACTTTGGTGGTTATGTTTGTGTGTCAACTTGGCTGGGCCTGGTTGAGTGGCTGGGCAGCTGGTGGTAGTTATTCCCTATGATGAGAGTGGCAATCAACTCCATGGTGGGAACTCCACAAGCAGCTGAGTAGCTGCCTTTGGGATGTGGTCTGCTTCCTGTATATAAGGAGAAGGTCTCTAGCTTATGGCACACTTGGACCTTGCATGTAGCTGTGTCATTGTTCAGCAGCCTGCCATGCTCTGCCAACCTGGGGACTTACAGTGGATTTGAATCAATGGCCTGCCCTGTGGTTTGGTAACATCAGGACTGTACCTTTTTATTTGTCAACCTTGGGCTTATTAGCCTCAGCAGCCAGCAGCTGTCTGAGTGAAGAGATGCTTCTAGCTTCAGTGGGCTGGGAGCAGCAGGCAGAGCTGAACCCCAAGGTTGGGGGCTTTCACCCATCCAATAGAGCCTGGTACTTTGAACTGGGACTTAAAACCTCCAAATTGTAAGAATAAACTGTTTGTTAAGGTCATCCCATTTGTGGTATATTCTTGTTAGAGTGGCACTAGGGAACCAGAACACTCACATTTTCTAGTTTTTTGAAATCCTTTTTATTTAAAGGTATTTTTGCTGGGTATAGAATTCTAGGTTAATACCTAGTAGAGCCTGTGAGAGCCAGAACTCGAAAGGACTGCTGTGTTTTTCCAGGTCTCACAAGTTTTCCACCTTTGACAGGGGGCATTCTTACAACTTTACTATTGCTCTTTTTAGTGGAAAATAGTATTCCTTCTCTGACAGGTTCCTGCCTTACACAGGTTCCTACTTGAACAGGTTTCAATGTAGTTATTTTCTCTCAAAAAATTGAACATATAAAACTGCCAGCTTTTGGTCTATTTGGTTGTTGTGAAGTCAGGTGTCACTTTTTTTTTTTTTTTTTCCAATTGTTCCTTTGAAGATTTTTTTAAAAATATTTTTATTGGCGTGAAATACAGTATTTGCCATTTCAACTACTTTTACACATACAGTTCAGTGACATGAATTATATTCACCATGTGTGCAACAGTCACCACCATTTGTTTCCACGTTTTTTCATCATGAAGACACTCTTTCTCTCCTTTGTATATCTTCCCTCTGGTGTGCTGTGGTTTTACTGTGACATGGCCACTTCTTTTCATTTATCCTATTGGGATTCATTCAGCTTCCTGATTCTCTCAATTGATGCCTTTGGTTAGGTCTAGAACAGTCTCAATCATTATGTCTTCAGATATTCTTGGTGCCCTATTGGAATTATTAGATCTTCCGACTCCATCCTTCTTGCCTCTTCATAGCTTATATTACCTATTTGTTTCTGGACATTCTGGAGAGCTTCTACACTTCTAGCATCCAGTTAATTCTTTCTTCAGTTGCTAAAACTTTTCATACAACAGTTCATACATTTTGTTTCATGGCATTGAGTGCAGTCTCCACAATGTAATGGCTCTCTTCCCACTTCTTCCCTGTGGTTACCTTTTCCCCCCGAGTCCTTTCCTATGCATTCCTGCCCTCTGAGCTATCTCCCTGTGCAAATACTGCCCTTCCGGTCTCCCATGGTTGGTTGTTCTAAGGAGTGCACCTACCTGGTAGCCCTACTGTTTGGCTGGAAGCCATGGGAGTGAGTTCAATTCCAGACCTAAAGGGTTACTGGGGCCATGGTCTTAGGGGTTTCACCAGTCTCTATGAGACCAATCAGCCTGGTCTTTATTGATGTTGAGTTTGGGTCCACATTTTTCCCCCACTCTACCCAGGATCTCCTGCAGTGATCCCTTTCCGGGTGGCTGACAGTGGTAGCCGGGCACCATCTAGTTCTTCTGGTCTCAGGGTCATGTGGGCTGAGGAGTGCACGGTTCACTGGTCCCTTGGACCAACTGTTTCCTTGTGTCTTTGGTTTTCTTTTCTTCTTTGCTCTGGATGAAGAGAGACTGATTGTTGCATCTTAGATGGCCACTCACAAGCTTTGGAGACCCCAGGCACTACTCACCAAAGTAGGCTGTAGAACAATGTTTTGTGTAGTATGTTGTGCCAGTTGAGCTTGATGTCCCCCATGACCATGGTCCTGAGCCTGTGGGCCCAGTGACTCATTCTCTCAGGGTGTTTGGCTGTGGTTAAGGAGCTACCATAACCTTGACCCTTGTTAGCTCTACCCTATCTGTGGACATTCTTACAGCACAAGTACGTGTGTAGAAATAGCTACCAAACTTCTGTATGGTCACGCGTATACTCCCTTTCGCTGAGCCACGCCTGGCCATGCAGCCAGTGTGTCCATCTGTGTCCCTGTGGCTGGTGTCTGTCTTCACTGACAGTGCAGGGCTGTGTCTGTAAAGGCTCACCTTTGTCGTCCGTCCCTCTCGTGCCCCACCCCGCGGCTCCTTTTCCTTGGTGGTACTGTGCTGTCACTGTTCCTCTTTGGTATATTGCCTTGCCTTTCACCCAAATCAATACTTGTCTCCTACCTACCTAGCAGTTTTCCCTCCCCTCCCCACGCTGGGAACCAACACAGGAAGTTTTCACATATGAACCTTTCCTTGACTTTTTACAATACCACCCATCCAGTCTTAAAAAGCACTTTACCAATTCATCTACTTCAAGGACTTTTTCATTTCTTGAGTTCTCTTCCCTATCTGCCTCATCCCTTTATCATCTCTTGCTCTCTACTCGCATTTTAAGTTTCTTGGTTTCTTTACATATATTGAAAACACACATTTT